AGCTCCTCCAGCGGAGCCCAGGGCGGACTGGAAGCCTGGGTTGCCCCCAGCGATCCAGGCCCCCTGCGACCCAGGCCCCAACCCCTCCTTGAGAGGAGTACAGGGCCGGCGGGAAGCTTGGCTTCCTCCATCATCGGGAGCAACCCAAGCCTCCTGCTCACTCCAGCTCCGTGGCCGCTGCCATCTTCAGTCATCTTCAGTCTTCGCTCTGCACCTGTGTATGCAAATTAACCACCATCTTTGTTGGGTCAATTTGCATAGTCGCTCTGATTGGCTGGTGGGTGTAGCAGAGTGGTGGAGTGACGGAGTGATGGTTAATTGGCATATTTCTCTTTTATTAGTGTAGATTGTATATAAGTACCACATCTTCTTTAGCCAGTCATCTAGCAAAGGACACTTTGATTGTTTCTATGTCTTGGCCACTGTGAATAATGCTGCAATGAACATAGGAGTGCATATATATTTACTGATAAATGTTATCAAAATTTTCAGGTATATACCCAAAAGAGGAACCTTCATACTGTTTTCCATAGTGGCTGTACCAGTTTATATTCCCACCAGCAGTAAGGGGAGTTCCTTTCTCTCCACAGCCTCTCCAACACTTATTGTTACTTGTCTTATCATAATAGCCATTCTAACAGGTGTGAGGTGGTATCTCATTGTCGTTTTTATTTGCATTTCCCTAATAGCTAGTGAAGTTGAGCTTCTTTTCATATATCTGTTGGCCATTTGTATGTTTTCTTGGGAGAAGTGACTGCTTAGGCCTTCTGCAAGTTTTTTAATTGGATTGTCTTGTTGTTGAGTAGTATGAGTTCTTTGTATATTTTGCATATTCACCCCTTATTGGAGGTGTTGTTTGCAAACATCTCCTCCCATTCGTTGGGTTGCCTTTTTGTTTTGTTGACAGTTTCTTTTGCTGTGAAGAAGCTTTTTAGTTTGATACAGTCCCGTTCACTTATTTTTGTTTTGCTTCCCTTGCTTTTGAGGTCAAATTTATAAAATCTTCTCTAAGACCAAGGTCCAGAAGTTTTTAGTACCTGTCAACATGGTTTTTGTGATTGTTATGATTTTCATTAACAAATGCTACAATAAGCATTCTTGGCCATGTCTCCTTGGCACATATAGGAAAGTTCCTCTATTCATACCTAGAGTTAGAATTGCTGGGCTGTAGGAGATGAGAATCTTCAGTGTTACAGATATACAAAGTGGTTCTACCAATTTATAATCGTACCTGCAGTCACAGTTCACCTCAAATTCACCTCCACTTGGGAATATCACATTTTTTATTTTGCCTGTAAGAATGTAGTAAAATGATACTTTACTATTTAACTCTTGGTTCCCTAATTCCTAAGAAAATAGACCATCTTTTTGTATTTTTTATTGGCCATTTGGGTTTCCTATTCTGTGACTTGTCTGTTCATATATTTTATCCAATTTTTATTGGGTAATTTTTCATATCATTTGTGGGTAATAGGCTGAAAATATCCTCTCCCAGTTTGTGGTTTGGCTTTTAACATTCTTTATAGTGTTTTCAGTCATACAGAAGTTTGTTTTATGTAGTCAATCTCCACAATCATTTATTCTTTCTAGTGTTTAAAAAACTATTCTAGCCCAGCTGGTGTGACTCAGTGGTTGAGCGTCGACCTATGAACCAGGAGGTCACAGTTTGATTCCTGGTCAGGGCATATGCCGGGGTTGCAGGCTTGATCCCCAGTTTGGGATGTGCAGGAGGCAGCCGATTGATCTCTCACCATTGATGTTTCTATCTCTCTCTCCCTCTAACTTACTCTCTGAAATCAATCAAAACATTTTTTTTAATATTTTATTGATTTTTTTACAGAGAGGAAGGGAGAGAGATAGATAGTTAGAAACATCGATGGGAGAGAAACATCGATCAGCTGCCTCCTGCACATCTCCCACTGGGGATGTGCCCGCAACCCAGGTACATGCCCTTGACCGGAATTGAACCTGGGACCCTTCAGTCCGCAGGCCGATGCTCTATCCACTGAGCCAAACCTGTTTCGGCAAAACATTTTTTTAAAAAACAAATTATTCTCTACTCTCATAAAGATATCTTTCTATTTTTTCTTTTGTAAAAATGTTTGCATTTACCCAGATTAAAGCTACATTGGAGCTATTTTCATGTTTATTTATTTGCCATAGGGGCAGGCAATTGTCCAGCATCACTTCTGGATGAGTCCATCCGGCCCCACGGATGTGTACAGCCTCCTCTCATGGAGCAAGTCCCCAGTGGGCATGGGTTTATCGCTGGGCCCTGTATTCTGTTCCATTTTTCTACTTGTCAGACCCCTTGTAGTTTTTGCCTTATTGCTTTAATTTCTAGTCTTATTAAACTAGTAAGCCTTAATTTCTGGCAGGGCAGGTACTGTCCTTACACATTTTCAAAATTGTCCTGGCTTTTCATGGGCCTTTACAGTTCCATAAAAATGTTTGGACCAGTCCATTTTTACAAAAATGCTGTAAGGATTATAATTGCAATCATATCACAGGCATTTCAAAAATAGATTATTAAAAGGTTCCGTAGTTCTTCCAGAAGAGCTCTTTCTTAAATAGCATTTATTTTAAGGAACAACACAGTTTACAGGTGAAGAAGGAAGGGGTTTCTCCACACCCTCCAATAGCCTCTTCCCGACTCCCCTATTTCTGTCAGTGTCATCGCCTTCGCCATCGCCATTGCCCAGATCCTCAGCGTCATCATTAGAGTCTTTTTTCCCTTCACTTACTTTGTCTAGATATTTATTTACCAGTTTGCCTCCTCTGTCTTTGGATTTCCTGTGTTTTCCAACCTTCCCTTTCTTTCCCTGACATTGCTCTGACTCAGACTCTTGTCCCTCGTGCTGGGCTGGGCCAATAACTCCCAATTTATACCCCTGCTTCTCAAGGTTCTTCTTCCTTGAAGTCCATTCTGATTACTGATTAATGGTCCTGAAGCATATCCAGCCCCTCCCAATCTCAGAGCCCTCACCAGGCTCCTTCCGTCTGCAGGATAAAGTACAACTCTTCTGCCCCGCACTCACAGGGCCCCACCTTACCTGCCCAGCCTCTCAACTGTCCCCGACTTCCCCACCAGCAACCTGGAGTCCGGCCAGATCCAGCTCCTCAGTGTCTGGGAACCTGCCTGCTCCTTCTCTCTCCTCCCCACCCCCGCAGTGCCCCCCGCTGCTCACCACTCTCCTACTGCTGCCACGCCCACAGTCCGCCCGGGATCAGGCAGCTCGTCAGACCACCAGGCCCAGAATGGTCTCCCTGCTTTGAACATCCTTGGTGTTTCTATTTGCACATTTTGCAGCCCAGCGGTGTGAGATTCACTTTCACGGTGTAAGGGAGGGTTTCTGCACCTCAGCACTATTGACCCTTCCGCCAAGATAATTCCTTGCTGTGGATGGTTTTCCTTTGTTTCCAGGCCAGGATTCCTGGTCTCTAGATGCCAAGTAGCACCCTCTAGTTGTGACACTTGAAACTGCCACCAGACGTTGCCAAAAATCCCCTGGGGGGCAAAATTGACTCTGGCTGACAACGCTGGTGTAAGGGAAGACTTGTATGCCAGCTGCACCGCCGGCACGAACCACAGAGCAGCTAAGGGGTTTCTCGGGATACTCTCTGGCAGTTGCCATTCACTGTGGTTCGGAGCACATGCAACAAGTTGCCCAAGTACATGCCCATGTGGCCTCCTGGCGCACACTGACCACATCCTGTTGTTCAGAAAGAGTCTACTCCTTGAAGTGACAAATCAGGAAGGAGGCTGGGAAAAGCATTTAGGTGCCATAGAGACACAGCTCCCGTTCATCAGTGTCTAAGAGGTAGTTAAGGGGAGCATTTGAGATCTAGCTCCCCAGCATATGTTGTCAGCTTGGCTCAGATAAACTCACAAAAATTAATAAAATAAAAGGTAGTTAATCACGCAGTAGGAAAACAAAATAAAATATGGGGGAGCCACATTTGCTAGGAAGATGCTAGGGGTCATTTGATGGCCATGTTCTGTGCGTCCAGGGAATAAACTGAGTCCCATCCTCAGCCTTTCACTTTCAAAAGAGATTCAGTAATAGGAATCTAGTTGGCCGGCACTGTCAGAATACTCTTACAGGTTCATCTAAGTGTGTTTTAAAAACATGTTTTCATTGATTTTAGAGAGAGAGAAACATCAATGATGAGAATCATTGATCATCTGCCTCCTGCATACCCCCTCCTGGGGATCGAGCCCCAAACCCAGGCAAGTGCCTTGACTGGGAATCAAACCATAACTTCCTGGTTCATGGGTCAACACTCAACCACTGAGCCGCACCAGCCTGGCTCACCTAAGTTTTAAGAACATTATTCAGAAGAACCACTCCTCTCAAATGATATAGGCCAGTGATGGCGAACCTATGACATGTGTGTCAGAGGTGACACGTGAACTCATTTTTTTGGTTGATTTTTCTTTGTTAAATGGCATTTAAATATATAAAATAAATATCAAAAATATAAGTCTTTGTTTTACTATGGTTGCAAATATCAAAAAATTGCTATATGTGACACGGCACCAGAGTTAAGTTAGGGTTTTTCAAAATGCTGACACGCCGAGCTCAAAAGGTTCGCCATCACTGGTCTAGGCCCTTCCCCAAGAAGGCTGCTGTGTAGGCCTCAGGGCACTCTGCGGGGCTGGGGTCATTTGGGCACCAGCCTGAGTCCCTGGATGGCCCAGGGTCTGAAAAATGCTCTAGGCCGCTGCCCCAATTCGAATCAGCATTGGGGCTAGGATAAGCGGGAGGCCCAACATGCAGGTTTGTCTCCGGGCTAGGTTGCCATGCCCCTCTGTTGGCCTATTGGCTCCTCGAGGGGTTGTTCTTCTCCAAGGTGTTAACCATGACAGACAGACACTGGGCCAGCCATCCTCTCCGGCCCTCAGGCTGGCAGTGCAGGGCCACCTCCCCTCTGTTCCTCTCAGCTGTCCTGACTTACCACCGGATGCTCACTTCCTCCTTGATTGCCTCCTGACTCACCTCTCAGAAGTTGGGCTGCAGTGGGAGGGTGAGAGAAGCAGGCAGAGGGGATGCTGTAATTGGTCTCCAGGATTTTCAGAAGATCTGCCGTGTACCTGGAGAGACACCAGCCTGCGTTCAGATATGGGGACTTGTGAAGAGGAGAGGGGACCAGAAGGGACACCCGTTACTTGACGCTCCCTCAAACATTTCTGGGTGCAGGGAGCTTGTCCATTTCCCCTCAAGGACCTGATTCTGGGAGGGAATGGGGAATGGGCCCGGTCTAGTGTGCAAGGCAGCCTGCTGTTCAGTTAGGTCATGGACAGCTTGGCTGTAGTGCCCGAAGAGCCCACAGTCCATTCCCTCCCCTTCCCTTGGGGCAGCAGCCCAGGGGCTGGCTAGGGAGAAAGAGCAGGATCCCAGAGAAAGAGTGGACCCTTAGCACTAGGGTCGGGTTCCCCAGCAGGTGGAGGTTCTGTACATATACCCTCTCCCCCAGCTCCCAACTCTGGGAAATTCCTCTCCTCGAATGGGGAGAGAAAGCCAAGACTTTGAAGGGACATGCACTGACCCAACCCCACAGTGTCCTCAGGGACAGCCAGACCATTATCAGTCCTGTCTCATTCTGTTTGCTGGGAACCAAAGGGTCCTGGGAGGGAGGGAGGGACAGGCCAGAGAGATAGAGGCCTCCTGCTGCTTGGCAACTGGCTCCTGGCTCAGGGCCGGCTGACCTGGGGTCAAGCTTTATCTGAGTCCTGTCTGGCTCCATTATCTCCTCTCCCTCTCCGGCTCGGTTCTCGGCTCGGTTCTCGGTTCTCGGTTCTTGGCAGGTGCTGAAAGGCAAGGAAGGGCAGGCAGGTCGGGGCCCTGAGGTAGAGCTGACTGCCAGCCTTTCCCAACGGACTGGTAGGAAGAGTGGCTGGATCTTCCCTCTGGCTCTCTCCCTCCTCAGGCCTCTTTGCTCACAGTTTCTATCTCAGAGTTCATCAGAGGAATTTGAAGTTTGATCCTCTCAGCTGGCTGAGTTCCCAGGTTCCTGACTCCTCCCTGTCCCCTAGGTGTGGTCTCTCCTGCCTCCTTCCCATAAACACCTTTAGCCATCCTTTGCCCTGGCCCATTCCTGTCCTACAAACCCCATGTCCCCCCAAGAGCCTTCTTGGGTGGTGGTAGGGACAAAGTTCTCATGCCCACCGGACAACAACTCCTACTCCCCAAGAACGTGGCTGGACGCAGTCTCTGGGGCCCTGGGGGTGGGAGAATCAGGGCTGAGGCCTTGACTGTGTTGGTTTTGGTGGCTTGGCATGTGGAAGGAAGGACTAGGTGGAAAAGCCGGACAAGGCCCCTGTGAGTTTCCCACGCCCAGCCCACCACATCTTGACGATGGGTTTGTCCAGCCAAATAGCAGCAGAAGATGCAGCAAAGGGGAGAGGGAAGCTGTATTACCTGGTATTAAAGAGGCAGAATTGTGAGATTTGCAAGCATCTGGACTGAATTTTTTAAAACTGTCAAATTGTTTATGAACTATTTTATTGATTGGTGATTTTTCTTTTCTCATAGATTTAAACCTATCTGAGGCCAAGCACAGCGCCCGCCCTGAGGTTCCTGGATCAGGGCCGGACACACGCCAAGTGCTCCTTAGAAGTGGTGGCATGACTGATGATATCAAATCACAGCAACAGCAGCATCTAAGGTCCACTGAGCACTTCAGGTGCACCCAGTGCTGTAGGAAATGCAATATGTTCCTTATCTCATGTCAGCCTTACAACCTCCCTTTGAAGGTAAGTGGAAGCTTTATTTCCATTTTACAAATAAGGAAACTGAGAGTCAGAGGGTTGTGACACCAGGTTGAGTAGAAAGCCCTCGTGGAATGAAGAAAGGCAGAAAGGACCTGGCTCAGGGCTCTGTTGAGGTTCAAGTGAAGAAAGACCTCTGATAGTAAGAGAGGACCATGAGAGGGCAGAGGAGGCGCCCTGACCTGGGCTGATGAATAGATACAATCTGAGGAAGCAGTTACAGATGTAGTACCAGGACTCCCTACTCCTGTCTCAAAACACCTCAAAATATCTTCCCGTATTTTGTGTCAAGCAGAGTTCTCTCCCTCTTTTACTTCCCTCCTCAAATACAGTTCTCTGGCAGGACAATGTAGTGACTCAGGAATCTCAAGGGCTCATTCCCTCCTAAGGTGGAGGTTTGGGTACAACCGGAAGACTGGGGCATTGACCTCCAGAGGCTCAATTGCCCGGGCCCGCCCTGCCAAAGACCCTAGTTGACTCAGCTTCCTCAAACCATTTCCACAGGAACGCTCCCTGGGTCATTCACCTCTAGCTCAGTGAGAGGCCTTGAGCTTAATTGCACAAAGCCCTGAACTTTAGATTTCCCTAGACCAGACTGTTCTCCAAACTTCTTCAGGACAGAACTGGGGGTGGGGGTGGGAGAGGGGTGTTGAAGAGCTGGAGGACATTGGGAAGGGAAGTAGGCTGAACTGACATTTAGTCTTCTAGAGCCTGGCAGCTGGGAGGTCCAGGGGAGGCTGGGTAATTCTCAGGATGGATGACAGGGAGGGAGGAGTGGGAGGGTGTTGGTGAGAGGGAAGGCTTTAGCTCTGATGCGTTGCTTCTGCCCCACCCGAAGTCCCTAGGTGGCTTGCCCTGACTCAAGGCCAGTCCATCCATAGCTAAGGCATGGCAAGAGAAGATGAGCCAGTCAGATTCTTCTCTTGCTAATTCTAGACTTTGGTCAAACACTAAACCCTTCCCCGCCCCCATCCCTACCCCGCTACACACACACACACACACACACACACACACACACACATATGCAAACAATCTGGCCATTCACAATACTGACCAGGCAAAGGGCCTGGGCTGAGGTGTATATGGGGTGAGTTTACTCTGCCTCCTCTTTCTGTGCAGGCAGTGTAAGAACACAGCCTGCGGTTAAGCACTGGGAGGTCTCAACATTGGTTTTTAGAACCAAGAAAAACAAATCCTTTTTCTTCCTTTTCTTTTCTTGTTGCTTAATTTTCCCCACAAAATTGTATGGTCACATGATAGGACACCTTTTTCATCTCATGGCACACATAAACTAATTATAAATTTCTGCAGCACACCCAAAAATATATTTTTTTGGTGATCTGACAAAAATAGGTATAATTTTGATTCATTCACACTGGACAGCTATTGTTGTGTTGGCTGTTGTCATTTTTTTAATTTGACAATCTAAGGGAAAAAAGACCAGTGCTCTTGACTAGTTAGGTAGTGCGTGTTTTAAAAATTCTTGCAGCACACTGGTTGAAAATCACTGATGTAATGTTGTTAGATTTTGCCAAATGCCTTTTCTGCAAGAAAATTGTGTTGGCCCTGGCCGGTTTGGCTCAGTGATTAGAGTGAAGGGTCATGGGTTCAATTCCCAGTCAAGGCCATGTACCTTGGTTGCAGGTTTGACCCCTGGCCCTGGCAGCTCTTATAATATCAGTAGCACGTGAAGAACATTTGGAGCATGCTAATTATATCTATGTTTTGAACATCCTTCAGTGTTTGAGAGTGCCATGTCATGGGTTATGAGGAGGGAGAGCAAGCCTTTGGTGTTACCTAACAGTCAAAAAGACACGAGGTCAATTTTATTCTTCTGAATTTCTGGCCAATGTCAGAAAAAAAGGCAACATCCAAAAGAGGTGTTGCTGTATAACAATACAAGCACCTAAGGATGAGACATGGTGATAGTGTTGGCTGTATTGTCAATCAAACCAACTTGGCACAGCAGAAGGTAACCTAACACCCAGCATTTTCTGTTTTCCTTTAGAAGTGAAGACTCTCCTGTCAATCTAACTTTGCTTATCATTGTATATGTCATAAAATTTCCAAAAACAACAAAAAAGCACGTAAGTGAGTAGACCCCATTAACATTACTCATTTAGACTAGCTGAGACAATAACTCTCTACTATTGGGTCGAATAGGCAGAAGAGAAAATAATTACTTTTAGTGTTATTCAAAGATCACTTCCAAGCTATCAATTCTTTTCTGTTATACATATATCTTTAAAATTAATTTTAATATATTTTGATATGCAGGTATTTTTATTTATTTATTTATTTTTATTTCAGAGAGGAAGGGAGAAGGAGAGAGAGAGAGAAACATCAATGATGAGAGAGAATCATTGATAGGTTGCCTCCTGCACGCCCCCTACAGGGGATCAAGCCTATAACCCAGGCATGTGCCCTTGACCGCATCAAACCGGGGACCCTTCAGTCTGCAGGCCGATGTGAAAATATCTAAAATTTTAAACTTTAGTATTTGAAGTCATATAATCTTATTAAGTATATTATAAGACACCATTTTTACTACATTGATTTTAACCTCTTAATTTGAATGCCACGGAGAAAAAATGGTTCATTCGAGGCCACAGACTTCCCATCGTAGAGCCATGGCCCAGTGTGTCTGTAACCTCCCGGAGAGGCCCTGGCACAGGGCTCGGAGCCTCAGTTGGCCACATTTTGGCACTATGCCAAGGTTGAGCTGGTTTCTTCAGCCCCTGCTGAGATCCCTACAGATATTCAAAGTTTGAAAAAATAGTAGCACTCAAACTGGACGCTTCAAACAGCTCACAGTTAAGGAAGCTCTGCTGAGTGGTTTGGAGGCCAGAGGTGCGGATGTGGCTTTTTGTTGGCAAGATCACGGGCCAGGGTGGCATCCTTGGCATAATGTTTGAAGGCTAATCTTTAACATTTGTTTATTTTTGGTTTATTATTTGAATGTTCTTGAACCATGAGTGATCAGAATGGCATTTGAATTTTAAAAAGATAAGTCAAAATCAATGTTTTTCTATATCAAACACTGATTAGAAGGTCACAATTTCTCTTCATATTAGGTTGGGTTGTCTTTTGTATAATAATGTTAATGAAGCATTAAATGCATGTCTTTGCTTGGCCTGAAAATGGAAAGCCTACATGTGATTAGACCAACCTGGTACATATATTTATCAGAATAACATTTTAATTTGAAGGTTGGAAATTCTTTATTTCCAGAAGTCGGGGGAAAGTCCTTGAGAAAACTAAAATTTGCTACAGTAGGAGAAATAGTAATGCATGTACCAAAGTTAAATCATTCAGTAGTCAAAGAATAAAATTTGGATGGTTTCTCTTTGCTAAAATCAGAGAAAGACTTTTTGACTGCATCTATATCTATAAAAGTTGGGATATTTGGTAGCATTCTATGTGCGTATCTTTGTAATATCTTTAATGCCAGGACAGTGAATGAGAGCCATCACCTAGATTTCAATCTAATTTTTATGTGTATTGTTATTAATCTCTCTGTTTTTTTATTTTAGAACCTATCTTTGCAAAAATAAAATACCCTATGAGTTTTTAAATAGGGTTTTAACATAGTATCATCTATGGGTATAAAAAGTATCTTATGTCCTGAATAAATAGAAGTGATTAGTTATCAGTAAAAAAGAAAAGAAAAGAAAAAATATGCTTCTATAGACAAGAAAATATAAGTAATAAATGTGTATTGATGAGGGATTTTTGCTCTTTGTTTTTAATCAAATGAATTCTCTCAAGATGTCCCAGTTCATTTAGTCCAATTCAAAACAGGAATCTTGGAATTATAAATTTTATTCATGTTTAAGGATAATATAATCTCTGCTGAGTGACATTAAAGTGACATTCAAAATGGCCATTACCCGTCGGCACGCGGCAGCTCTGACATGTGCAGCTGCTGCGTCTCAGCAGCCTCTGTGGTAGCCGTTCTGAGGCTACTGGTGGCGCCTGGGTCACAGGCCTG